AATACCCTCGTTGTGCTAGACTCAAACACATTGCTTATATATTTCAAAGAGAAGAGAACAAAAGAAAACACCTATACAAAGAGAGCGGTGCACAGCGCTTAATATTTACTTGCACTATATTTCTGTTGATCTGGGTTATTGTGTTGCACTGTTGGAGGAGCCTGTGACCTAAGATGTTCATTGTCATAACTACACTAGCTATGTTCGTATGACAAAATAAAAAACCTTGAACCTTGAGGCTATGTCTTTCAGACAAACCATCATAATCATATTATTTTATGCTGTGGATACTTTAGCCTCCATCCATGTTAACAATTACATTTAATTTACACTTGCATTTATGAATATAGTTATGTTGTGTTTTACACTTTTGTATTTATGTTTATAGTTTGCTTTGATATTTGCTTAATTTATTAGATTATTATTATTATGGGGGCAGTACTGGTGCTTGAAATTCAAATATTTACTAAATAGTCAATTCTGATAACATTTTTTTGGTTTAAATAATTTGACAAACACATGTATGTGAAAAAGAAAAGATGTATTTATGTTCAATACAATACAATGAATATTTAGGTATTACATTATACATTCTAGGTATTCAGGTAGCGCTTCAGACCCTCTCGTATGTCCCTGCCCTCCTCTGCACCTCAGGCATCCTGAAGTTCTCCACCCACTGAGTGTGTGTGAAAGATGGAACAATCACATTCCACCACTCGGTAGCTCGGTCGGTAACTTCTGAAATACACAAACAAAAGCATACATATTTTAATGCGTAAAAGTGGTAGCTACAATTAATTAAATACTTCAAATACTTTGGTCGTATAGGGAGCGTGAGCCTAAACACATTGCTAGTTAGCGAACGTTAGCTTACCAAGTAGCATTGTAGTTAGTAGTGATTCGAGTCGTCCTGTAGTCTCTGCGGCGTAGGAGGACTGCCCGAACTCTCGCGTCAGCTTCTTCTATACCTCGTCTTGCTATACGTCGCCTCTTTCGAAACAACTCTTGTCTATTTCTTGTGATAATAAACCACACAGCAAAAAACAAGCAAACGATCGCTTTCACATCTTCACATCCTCCATTGTTGTGTCGCATTGAAGATGACGTCACGGCAGTTTTAAGCAGCGTCGCTCCGCCTACACTGCGTTACTATAGATACTACCCCAGTTCCTAAACTGTAATGGAAACGCGCCATAAAGTGAGCTGGTCCTAACGAGGCCAATCGCGGCCCAGCCATACCGAGCGGGGCCGAGCGAGGCCGTGTAGTGGAAACGCGCCATAACTCCCGCCTGCTCCAGCCTGCTCCAAATAAGGGCAAAGAGGCGGAGCCGAGGCGGGACCTTCTGCCTCCAGCTGGGAAGTAACAGAGCTAGCTCAAGCTAAGAAGCTAAGCTAACATGCTTCCCCATCTGCACACTGCCGTCACATTTTACGTTTCTAAGGTAAGCGGACATAAAACTATTCAGCAAAACTATAAATAATAATCTAAGTTATTGAGTTTTTAGCATAATACTTCAGAATCTTAAAATCCCTTAACGTTTGTATGCAATGTGCTAAATGCAACACTGGAATCAAGCAAATTAATATGTTTGCATGACATTAGTTATTTATATTTTGCTATCACTTAATTATACGTTTAATACATTTAAGTCAAGCTAAGGTACAGTACATGTGATGGTAGCTAGTTAGTGCTCTTACCTGTGAGGCCTCCTCCAAACAGCATTATAACCAGACTGTATCATTAAAACTATAAGTACCAGTTCTAGATCCTTGACTTTAGACAAACAATTCAAAAGACAAAATGTATTTAAAGACCAATCTTTATTTGAAGGTGCCTCTTAACCTGAGATATTAGTTATACAGTAATAGTATTGACAATCTAAAAAAACTGAGCAACTCAACAGTCAACTTTATATTTCTTATTGTCTAAAGCATTTATTATTTTCATTTTCCCCCACTCATATTCAGTGCGGACGGATTGAGACAGCGTGGTGTCCAGAGAGCTGCAGAGACTTCAGGGAGAAACCTCCGTGTGATGGACGTCCAGTCTGTTGGTTTGGAGAGGACTGAGGGTCTTTCCTCTGCGAGGAGGACCAGGCCTGATGGAGGAGCCCATGCTGGGCATAGCTGATACCAACTGCACAGGCCTTGTCTGTCACTTTATTTGACTAAACTTATACATTTAATCGGTTTACACCTTCTGTCCATATGTGCATTTTTATTTAAAACATGTTTGATTAACTTTTGGTTCACATTTCAATAAATTGAATTTGTATTTGCACTCCTTTTGTCCATTATTCTTACTGAAAATGTTAGATTACACATTCACATCTGACTGAAGATTGGCCCCATTTATTTGTGACGTTGCAAACTCTGCGGTACAAGGTACATGTTGTGAATCTCATAAAGTGAGGCAAATAGAATTAATCAGCTGATGGAGTGTAGATGTGGAAATAGGTGCATTCGATCAGCTGACTTCACAATAAAAGTAGTTTCTTAGTGAATGTCCTGTACTGGTCTTAAAATCTCATAACATCAGCTTTTAATTTTCCTCTTGGATGTTCTTCTTGACCCTCAGAGAAGGAGAAAATGTTGAGTCGTGTCTTTCAGGCATGTCCTTTCCTAACAAAAATTACAGGAAACATAAAACATATTATTGCAGAACAAGTGTGTTATTTATGAAAGAGGTGTGCTTGTGTTTAGGGGCTGTAGATATAATTATTTTGTAATTGTAATGTTTTATTTTATTTCAACAGTGAGCTACAAAGACAATCAGATTATGAATGAACAGTATGACATTCATCAACATTGAAATATATTTTATTATCAAAATAATAATTAACTGTTATCAAAACTTAGTGCAACTGTAGAAGCTTGCTCTGTTCTCTCACTGAAATCATAACTTTTACTACGTTTTTTACAGACAATATTGAGAGATAAATAGTAGCAGTTCTCACTAATAGCTTTGCCTTCAATACCTTAAATTAGAAAGCTGACAAAGTAATATTGCTTGTTAACATGTAACCCTTTGCATGGAAAAAACCCTCAACTTCACTGATGTGTAGGTGATCTAGTATTTAGTATTGTTTAATGGAATGTATATCAGTGTATTAAAGTCAATACTTCATTTATTTAAACCAATATCTTTCTTGATTCTTTGTACAGTATGACAAAAGAGTATTTGTACCTGTGCTGAAGTTCACTGCTGTGAGGAGTCCAGTTCTGTCTCTCACTCTCTGGTCCAACCTGTCTGCATCACCTGGAAACTTTAAACAAACAGATATATATGTAAAGAACCATGTGTACAAACAATATAACTTATTCTCTTCTGTTGAACATGTTGGATTGTGTATTGTCCGAGTCAGGGTCCTTTTTATTTTACTGTAACTTTGGAAGTTGTGTTACCAATGCTTACTGTTTATTTGATACCAATTTGGTAATGCAATTAATAAAAACAACAAGGTTTGGGTTCGTTCTTCAGATGACTGTGACGTTAACGTGTAAGCTCAATAATGAACTCCAGCTCAACCAACCATATTGTAATATCTAAGTAATCATCTTGAAATATGACATTAATAATTGTAATATACACACATCTTATTGTGAGGTTGATTTCACATACACTACTTCGACGTTAGCTTGTCTACATACTTGAGCATAGCCAATTTAAATTAACCTTAGCGATGCATACAGTTCCTACCTGCATAATAAAATATCTCTAAGTTACAAGGATGACCTTATTTTATCAACCTCAAACAGAAGCCTTTTGTTCTACAGTACTATCTCACTTAACGCTTAACACTTGTCTATTTCATTTTAACCTTTATATATACAGTCTATGGTTTTAAGTTAACTTGGAGGATACGATTAGCATCGTTAGCACCGATGTAGCTACCACTCGCTTACACGCTAACCCAAGCCTTAACATTCATTACGTAGCTGATTAAAATCATAAACACATAAATAAAGTACCCGAATTTCACTTACCGCAAAACGGCATTCATGCACCGTCTGTTTTAACCGCAGAACGAGTCACAATAGTCTGATATATAAGCATGAAGAACAAACAAACACGGCCGGGGTCAAGTTGTGTTCCCTGGATGATCTGAGCACGGAGAGTCCCTGTAGCTTCACGGACGGAGCAGCTAGCAGAGAGACAAGAAGCTAACAGCAGCAGTCACTTGACAGAGCTGTCACTCAATGTGACCACGCCCTAATTTATGCAAAAACGTTAAGACCTAATATAAATAAAAGGGTCATGTTAGAAAACAATTCACTCACAGATCCATAATCATGAAGGTGGAATCTAACTATATCTATAATAATATTTATTGGGTCCATAGGTAGAAACATGTTTTTTTAGGCTGTAAAATTGGGCATTTTAACATGGGGCTCTATGGAAATTGCTCCTTTCTGCAGTCAGCGCCTATCGGCCAATATATGAACTGCAGTTTGTGGCACTTCCGTATTGGCGTCCCGGCTCTTCCCCAGAGTTTGCCGCTTGGTCCAGACACGGTCAAAAACTGTTTGCTACCGTCCCACACACCTGCATCTGATCACCCAGTGATTACATACACTCACAAGTGAATTCTCCATCTTGTGTTCAATGACAGAACTGCATGTTACATTAAACTTGTGCAGATAAAATAAAAACATAGACACATACATTAGACACAAAATGATGTTCAATCTGTGATATGGACACTGTTTAGTGTACGTATATATTAAGCAGAACAGCGTTGAATGAACTGTTCATAAATTCAGTCAAACTAGAATATTTTACAGATTTAAATTTGAATATTCTGTCTCACAAAAAACTTTGGTAAAAAGTCAATGCAAGATTATTTAAAACTTATTTGCAATTATGAAAAACTTCACTTTAAAACTTTGCAACTTAATGTAGCAAAATAATATATTTTGCTTTTAACATTTACATTATTCAATGTTAAGTCTGTGGAAAAGTGTACTTTGTTTTAAGCAAAAAAAAACTATTATTGTCGAACACATTTCAGAAATGTTTTATTTGTATAAAGTACAGAGCAGGAAGAGGTCGAATATGAAATAAAATATAAAAAATAAAACTCCAAATATATATGTACAGTTTAAAACAATACAAACAAGCCATAACGTTTATACATAAGTGTGAGTCATCTTGCATCCCGTACTGACCACATCACCTGGTTGAAGTAACATAGTTTCATATCCATTTATTTATATTCCGCTATAATTAAACATTTCTGTAAATCAAGTCTTCAACCAAAATAGTCAACCCTAATTTGAAGCAAAAATATCTAATGCTAATCTGCTAACTTTACTAGAACAGTTTATTTTACAGAAATAACTTTAATAGCATATAACTTGGAATAAAATCAACTTAATAAATACATTGAAGCTGTAAAAGAGCTTTTTACATTACATATCATTTAGCTGACGCTTTTATCCAAAGTGACTTACAATAAGTGCAACCAGCTTTGACCTGAAGCAAACTGTTGAAGCGACACGTTTGTGAACTAGAGCAGAGCTGGACTTATCATCACATGAGGTCATTCAAAGCAGGTTTGAAATAAGTAAATGGTTAAATAATCTTACATATTCCCACAAACATCTCTCTGTTTCAGAATATGTACACGGCTGCTTAATCCACACCAGCTTCTTCTGCCAGACTGTGAGAGTTATTGGGGGTTGTTAACAGTAGAGTACAGAGGGGGCTCAACAGAGCTAGCTTCCACCCGAGGAACAGAGTAGATAACACGCTCAGTGTCACTGTGGAAACCACTTTGGGACGAGCCCACATTGACAAATTGGATCTCAGAGTAGGCGGGTTGACTCGGGTCGTCTTCAGCCTGGAGGAAAAAACATTGCTTGATTAAATGTGTCTTTAACAACAGAACAAAACAAGCAACTGGAATGAATCAAAGCCAAATCCGGCATTTCAGTAAATATGGATAGGAAGCAGCAACAGGTGCAATAAATGTGTTGTGATCCAGCTAATGTGTTGTGATCCAAACGTTTAAATTGTATAACTTTTCTCAAACTCACGTCTGGTGCAGAAGCATTTTGTGTTTCCACACGGGGTTCTGAAAAACACAACAGTACTTTGAGAAAAATACTTTCACACATGATATCACACATTCCCCATTTAAACCAATATTTGGGCCAACCCTTAAACAACAAGATAAATATATGTGTTTTGAGTTTGTAAACAACAGAACATATTTTGTTATTTAGCAACCTGTCAAATTTAAATTAGTTAAAAAAATGGAAAAGCCTATGAGCTGACTTCACTCCAAAATAGAGGAAGCTATCCTCTTAGCTACCTCTATTTTTTTATGTGTGTTTTTATAATTGACCAAATGTTTTGTTATAACTGGAACTGGCAGAGCGATAATCCTTCAGTTGTTGCAGAGGAAACAGGTGCTACATGTATGCTTTGTAAGTCGCAACATCACGAACATAGAACATATAGTCAAGTAGCATCTATGCAACTACACCATTATACAATAACACACACACACACACACACACACACACACACACACACACACACACACACACACACACACACACACACACACACACACACACACACACACACACACACACACACACACACACACACACACACACACACAAAAATCAGGCTGCCTACAATTCTTATGTTTTTCAGCAGTTGGGTTATTTTTGTCTGGTGTCATGGATGGACTTTTTGTGTGAGAAACAAATAGAATCTTGCGTCTGTGGTTAAAGTTAATATAACAAGTCAAGAGCTAACAGCTGCTACCATTTTTTTGTAAAAAATTGTTTCTGTGTAAGTGTTTGTGTATGCGTGTGCGTGTGCGTGTGCGTGTGCGTGTGTTACCTGGTTCCTCACTTTTGGCTTTACAAATCCTCTTCCTGCAGAATACCAGCACAGACAGTGATGACACGATGACCAGGACGACCAGAGTCAGAGACACATACAGGATCAGACCTGTGGTACAAGTTACAGTTACTAGTAAACTATAACATCAACACTAAGAATCCCCATAATCCATTTGGTTATTATGTTATCTTTAGGGGAAGACAACAGGTCAACAGTATTTGCCATATACCTACTGTAGAAATAGAGTACATGTTTTAAAAGCTGGGAATATGATTTAAGGTGAAGCATTTTAAAATCTGATTTGTAATTTGTGTACTCGATGCCAACAGATATGTACAGATTGTGATTGTAGAAAAAGCATAGAACATTATGATGGAAGAATATGATGGCCGTTCCCATGCTCCTTTATGTTTCATAAGTTGTTGAAACGTTATCTAGTAAACACAGTGTGTGGATGTACCTGTTGTTGTTGATTCAGGTTGCTCTGTGGTTTTAGGGGAAGCTGGTGAAGATGTGGAGCTTTCACTTTGGTTTGATGTTTCTGTAGAGGCTGATGGGACGGATGATGAAGGAGTAGAAGTGGTCAGAGCTTTTCTGACCTCATTTTCATTATCAAGCAGAAACTCACCATCAGTGACGATGAGCCTAAACCTCTGGTATAGATCATTAGAGTCAGGTCTGTCCAGACCACACCTGTACCATCCTGAGTCAGACTGGGTCAGCTGTTCAATGCTCACAATCACAAATCCTTTTATTGATGTTTCAAGATATCTGATGCTGTATCTGCCTTTTTTCAAAATATTGTAAATCGTTCCAACAAGAATGTCTCTTTCACATTCCTCCTTGCAGAAGAATATCTCGGTCACAGAGCGAGTAAAGGAGCATACAACTACAATACTTCCTCTAGTTCTAGCATTGATTGTTTTTTCTGCAGAAGGATCACCAACAAGTTTTGCTGTTGAAAAACAAAAACAATCAAAAGTTACTATTTGTAGATTACAAATTGTAGTTTCACTATTTATAACTTTGTATATTTTCAGACGTGATCCAGTCACTGAGGGATGAGGTGTGACGATTTAATGAAACAGCCTTTTGACTGAAATTCTTTAATATTTTAATTCAGTTTGATTTGGTATCATTACACTTTGGATTTATATTAGATTTGAATGCTTTAATAAAATCGCAGGCTTTGTATTTTTAGTTACAAATAGTGTCTGATTGAGCTTAACTGATAATTAAATATGTGAACTTTAGGCAGGAGATCTGTTGACATTTTTTGGAAAGGATTTCTTTACCCTTTGAACTGATCATTTTTATATTATGACTTACCCTGAGTTACCTTGAATTCATATGCTCATAACTTCCCTAAAACCTTACTTATCTAAACACTTCTGCATTAACTGTGCTTGAGAAAAGAAGAGCTTGTCTCTTTAAGCAGAAGTGTTTTAAACGGTGAGGTTTAAGCAGAATGCATGTCTTAGGGAAGTAGTGCGCACACAATACATGACATTTGGACTAAACAGCATTAGTTGTGTTAGAGTTAGTTAACGGATGTTTTAATTCACCGAGACTTTTCTCCATTTTGGGATTCTTTGTTCACCATGGACTCATGCTAGAAAAGGTTTCTTCACAAATTCAAGGTAACACAGGATGAGTTATGAATTAATCTAAAAATTGTATATTTGGCGGGTAAAGTATTCCATTAATTCCTTCATTGTGTTACTTTTCAACAGAACAGAGAGCGGTCTCATAGACTCTACTTCATTCAGCGAATGGAAAACACACAACAGACCAATATGCTCGTGCCCCTGGTATTAAATTCTTCATCACTAAAATATCCCTTGAGACAACAATAAGTGTGTGTTGCACAATAATATTCAAATACAATTGTGTAGTCGTGTCTATTTCAGTTTATCAGTTACTTTCAGAAGACATGTTGGATTTAAATGAAGTAAAGGTGAGAAGATAAAACTATTTCTGGACAAGAAAGAACATTCAGTTTTTAGTAGAAACTCACCATCAACAACAATGATTTCAATATACTCGTATGAAACCGTTGACAAAGATGATCCCACACCACACCAGTACCCTCCTGAGTCAGACTTGGTCAGCTGAGTGATGGTCACAAACAAATCTTTCTGTTTATAATCAATCCTGTATCTGCCACTCTGAGCTGGGGCACCGTATGTTTCAATGAGAATGTCTTTTTTTTGTTCACATGTTTCCTTACAGAAGAACTTCCTGTTTCTATCAGAAGGAAAGGAGCATTGAACTCTGACATTTTCTCCTTCAATTCCTGAATAGACAGTGTGTTGGGCACTGACGAGACCGGTGTTTCCATCCTGCAGAGCTGAACAAAGGATGAACAAATGTTGAGCCATCATTAGTAGTGGTCAGTACTTCCTGTAAGATGCTGCAGTCTGATGACAACACTTCCTGTTTCACATGAACACAGATCCTCAGAGTTAAACCACAGCCTGTGACTGAAGATCACCATCAGCACTGCAGGTTAATGTTACCGTTTTGGTCTGAGATCTTTATCCTTCTTTAGACACAAAGACTACATGAAGTCTCCATCTGTAACTTTAAGAGTTACATTAACGCAAATCCTTAAAGTACATAACCGAAAAAGTGTTTTATGTCAACACCACTTTTTTTTGTTTATGACATTTTTGGACTTAACACTTAGATAACAATTATTTTTGTTCCAGCAGCAGTGTCAAGCCGTACACGAGTTATAAATGTTTAAAAGATACAATAAGATACAAATATAATAAAAAGTTGAAATTAACATTAGCGGCATGTATATATAGTAAGAATACAAATCTAAAGATTAATAAATGAATCAAGAAAATATTTTGCAGATTAAATGATAATGAAAACAATCATATTAATTATATCACAGAAAAAACCTGTCGTAATGACTTCATTTTATTCATTCAGTAAGCAGATAATAACTGAGTTTAATGATGATGTACAGTTTGTTTGAGGAAGTGAAGCATATGTCATTGGTTGCATGGTACTAAAAAGCCTAACTTTGAAATATTTGAATAACTCGTGCTGCTGGAGCCTTGCATTAACTCAATGAATACTTTAAAGGAAAATGGTTCAATTACTGACATGAAAATAAAGTGATGTACTCACAGAAGAGGAGGAAGAAGCAGATCAAAGTGTGACAGACTTTCATGCTGAGACTCTGATGGTTTACCACTGACTGTCTTTCTTCACTGGCTAACCAGCAACTTGTTACTTCTTTAAATGATGAAGTCCCTCCTCCAAACACAACACAAAGCTCTACTCTCCTCCCCAACGCAGAAACACTATGGTCCAAAAATACTCCATTGAATGAACTGAATTGAACTTTCAGCTTCAGTAATCATTAAGCATAATAGCTCCTTTCATAGTGTTGTTTTATTATAGAATATATGATTCTGTTTTTATGTCTCATGAATACATGTAGGAGCATTTTAATGTTGTAGTGCATAGGTCACCAACAGGCGGACCTACAGACCCGTACCTCTCATCAATACATTATTAAGGGATCTTCTATTTTAACCGGTGCAGACAGGGGGCGAAAGAGAGAGAGAGCGACACAGGGATGTCCTCGTTCACTCCAGCTTCTCAACGACGCCCTTTATTGCTGGCGTGCTCACAGTCCATCACCTGTCACTGGACTGCACTCCAAATAAATCCCTTCAGACCTGTGTGATTTAGTTTCCACATGTTTATTGAAATTAATTCATCCGTCTCTTTTTATTATAGTTTTCAATTATTTTCGGTCCTGTATTTGTTTTTCCAGGTATAACATTTCATTTTAGTTATAATAATAATAATAATAATAATAATAATAATTGATGATTTCATTTCACTATCTTATTTGAGCTTGTTTCATCTAAACTTTCGTATTGGATGTTGTAATTTAATTTCTCCTACAGAAGTGAGACACAAATCATTAAAAGATTTGTTAGGTATGTTCCCCGTATTTATATAAATCCTAAATGTTTGACGTTCTGTGGGTTTTATCCACACATGCAACAAAAACCACAAATAAGAACTGTAAGTTATATATTTTTAAATCAAACCATTATTAGTGCATTTGTAAGTATATTTCACACACAATTATCTTAATATTTGTTCAAGAGATTTATCTATTTAACTCGTAATGAAGCTCGGAAGTGCCGTTAGCGTTGCTCCCATCTGTGGATAAACCTTTGAATCTTGAAATGAGCGATTAATACTTTACTATAATATTCAGATGAATCATCAATTTTCATGCAGTGCTTGAAGTATAGCATTTTCTTTCCGTTGGAATTTTGTTGTAATCATTTTTGGAAGAATGTTAATATTAGAGCTAAAAGATGGGTGTGGCCTGAACAAATGAAGTTAGTAAGGGAGTAGGACGTTGGGAAGGGGGCATCTGCATCTTAACTTTACGACCTGGCTCGACTTGGCCTCGGTGATCCCATAGGAGAACGTTCAGTAGTCTTCGTTTCTCTTCAGTTTCATAGTGAAGCCTAAATGGTTTCACAAAGCCTGCTAGGGAACCCTAAAACTGTGTTATCAAAGATATTAAAAAGAACCTGAAGCTGGTGAAGCTGTTCCCTCCGTCTGCTGCTGATGGGTGGGGGTTTCAGGGGAAGAGGATGAGGAGGTGAAACTTCTTAAACTGGAGCTTTGCCTCTGAGGTGTTGGGGGTGTGGAGGCTGACTGAACTTCAGTGGAAAAAGGTTGAAGAGTCCACTTTGGTTTGGAAGTGGTTGGAGCTGAGATCAACGAAGACACAAAGAAAGGATGAGGTGCAGATTATTCTGGCTGAAATAATAGTGGTAACATTACTTTAGAAGAAGTCAATTATTTTCAGTACTTAATTTGCAATCACAATAATAATGCTTATGAATAATATAAATACATGAATAATATATATTTTTTAAGGGCCCCTATTTAGCTTTTGGGTTTGTTCCCTTTCCTGTATTAGGTTTTTGTGCATGTAAATGGTCTGCAAAGGATAACTAACATCCCTGTGTTCCCTCCAGAGGGAGTTTCTCTCCCACACACTCCCCAGTAGCTCCATGACGCACCAAGAACACAAACAAATGTTTTCTGTAAAATATATTAAAGTTGAGATAAAAACAGCCACTGCAAAATTTAGTTTCATTATTTTCACAAGTTTAACTTCGGACTTTAGACACAAATGATGAACAATCTGTGATATGGACACTGTTTAGTATACGTAGAACAGAGTTGAATGAACTGTGTAGTGACCTTTCAACCTAATCTATACTTAAGCCACTGAGGGTTGCGAACGGGAGAACTTTGTTCGGACGTGTGTTACAGACTATAAAACAATGTCCATGAGTCGTATACCCTTGAATATCCTTTATTTTGTGTTCCAAATATTCACCATATTGATTGTATCCACATTGCTTCTTCTGTTACCATTCAGAGAACAATATGCCTGCCAGTCACGCTGGATACAAACAGTTTCACACAGCTCAACTCGGCTTCTCCAGACACGGTCAAAAACTGTTTGCTACCGTCCCACACACCTGAATCTGATCACCCAGTGATTACATTCACTCACAAGTGATTGCTCCATCTTGTGTTCAATGGCAGAACTGCATGTTACATTAAACTTGTGCAGATAAAATAAAAACAAAGACACATACATTAGACACAAAATGATGTTCAATCTGTGATATGGACACTGTAGTGTACGTATATATTAAGCAGAACAGAGTTGAATTAACTGTTCATAAATTCAGTCAAACTAGAATATTTTACAGGTTTAAATTTGAATATTCTTTCTCACAAAAAACTTTGGTAAAATCTCAAATGTTTTAAGTCAATGCAACATTATTTAAAACTTATTTGCAATTATGAACAACTGAAACATCCCACTTCTCCATGACAACTGAACAAACCATAAGATTGTTATACGATATTGAAATCTCCAGAAAAAGCAAGTTAATGAACCGTAGAGTTTCAGATCTAAGAGAGCATGTTGACAGAAATACAAAGTGTACTCACTGAGGACGAAGAAGATCAAACTGTGGCAGACGTCCATGTTCGAGTCTCTGATGGTTGAACGCTGTCTCTCTTTCTTCTTCACCGGCAAACCAACACGTTTTCACTTCTCTAAACGATGGAGTCCCTGCTTAAAATAAAACACTCACAGCTTTACTCTCCTCTCTAACACCTGCATGTGTATCACGTATGGTTCCACTTTAAAACTTTGCAACTTAATGCAGCAAAATAATATATTTTGCTTTTAACATTTACATTATTTAATGTTAAGTGTGTGGAAAAGTGAATTTTGTTTTAAGCCAAAAATACATATTATTGTCAAACACATTTCAGAAATGTTTTATTTTTATCCCGAGGAAATTATCCAGAGTACAGAGCAGCAAGAGGTCGAATATGAAATACAATATAAAAAATAAAGCTCCATAAAAATGGTACAAGTCCAAATATATATGTACAGTATAAAACAATACAAACAAGTTATAAGGATTAAACATATGTGTGAGTGGCATCTTGTATCCCGTACTGACCACATCACCTGGTTGAAGTAATATAGTTTCATATCTATTTATTTATATTCCGATATAATTAAACATTTCTGTAAATCAAGTCTTTCACCAAAATAGTCAACCGCAATTTGAGGCAAAATACCTAATGCTAATCTGCTAACTTTACTAGAACAGTTTATCTTACACAAATAACTTTAATACCATATAACTTGTAATAAAATCAACTTAATAAATACATTGAAGCCATAAAAGAGCTTTTTACATTAAACTACATATCATTTAGCTGACGCTTTTATCCAAAGGGACTGACAATAAGTGCAACCAGCTTTGACCTGAAGCAAACTGTTGAAGCGGCACGTTTGTGAACTCGAGCAGAGCTGGACTTATCATCACATGAGCAGGTCATTCAAAGCAGGTTTGAAATAAGTAAATGGTTAAATAATCGTACATATTCCCACAAACATTTCTCTGTTTCAGAATATTTACATGGCTGCTTAATTCACACATTCTTCTGCCAGACTGTGAGAGTTATTGGGGGTTGTTAACAGTAGATTACAGAGGGGGCTCATCAGAGCTAGCTTCCGGTAGAGGAACAGAGTAGATAACACGCTCAGCGTCACCGTGGGAACCGCTTTGGGACGAGCCCACGTTGACGTAGGTGGGTTGACTCGGGTCGTCTTCAGCCTGGAGGAAAAAACATTGCTTGATTAAATGTGTCTTTAACAACAGAACAAAACAAGCAACTGGAATGAATCAAAGCCAAATCCGGCATTTCAGTAAATATGGATAGGAAGCAGCAACAGGTGCAAAAAAAGTAGCCCTACCGAGCTAATGTGTTGTGATCCAAACTTTTAAATTGTATAACTTTTCTCAAACTCACCTCTGGTGCAGAAGCATTTTGTGTTTCCACATGAGGTTCTGAAAAACACAACAGTACTTTGAGAAAAAGACTCACAGACTTTCACACATGATATCACACATTCCCCATTTGAACCAATATTTGGGCCAACCCTTAAACAACAAGATAAATATATGTGTTTTGAGTTTGTAAACAACAGAACATAGTTTGTCATTTAGCAACCTGTCAAATTTAAATTACTTTAAAAAATGGAAAAGCCTATGAGCCGACTTCACTCCAAAATAGAGGAAGCTATCCTCTTAGCTACCTCTATTTTTTTTTATGTGTGTTTTTATAATTGACCAAATGTTTTGTTATAACTGGAACTGGCAGAGCGATAATCCTTCAGTTGTTGCAGAGGAAATAGGTGCTAGATGTATGCTTTGTAAGTCGCAACATCACGAACATAGAACATATAGTCTAGTAGCATCTATGCAACTACACACACACACACACACACACACACACACACACACACACACACACACACACACACACACACACACACACACACACACACACACACACACACACACACACACACACACACACACACACACACACACACACACACACACACACACACACACACACACACACACACACACCAGGCTGCCTACAATTCTTATGTTTTTCAGCAGTTGGGTTATTTTTATCTGGTGTCATGGATGAACTTTTTTGTGTGAGAAACAAATAGAATCTTGCGTCTGTGTTTAAAGTTAATATAACAAGTCAAGAGCTGCTACAATTTTTTTGTGAAAAATGGTTTGTGTGTGTGTGTGTGTGTGTGTGTGTGTGTGTTACCTGGTTCCTCACTTATGGCTATAAAAATACTCTTCCTGCAGAATACCAGCACAGACAGTGATGACACGATGACCAGGACGACCAGAGTCAGACGCACATACAGGATCACACCTGTGGTACAAGTTACAGTTACTAGTAAACTATAACATCCACACTAAGAGACCCCATAATCCATTTGGGTATTAGGTTATCTTTAGGGGAAGACAACAGGTCAACAGTATTTGCCATATACCTACTGTAGAAATAGAGTACATCTTTTAAAAGCTGGGAATATGATTTAAGGTGAAGCATTTTAAAATCTGATTTGTAATTTGTGTACTCGATGCCAACAGAAATGTACATATTGTGATTGTAGAAAAAGCATAGAACATTATGATGGAAGAATGTGATGGCCATTCCCATGCTCCTTTATGTTTCATAAGTTGTTGAAACGTTATCTAGTAAACACAGTGTGTGGATTTACCTGTAGTTGTTGATTCAGGTTGCTCTGTGGTTTTAGGGGAAGCTGGTGAAGATGTGGAGCTTTCACTTTGGTTTGATGTTTCTGTAAAGGCTGATGGGACGGATGATGAAGGAGTAGAAGTGGTCAGAGCTGTGAACAAGAAGTCCTGATGAGAGAAATTAGATCCTCCTGAGTGTCTGCTGAACTCTTTTAAATTGAGAGTTTAAAACATCATGAGACAAGAAAAACATTTTCATTATAAAGCAGAAACTAGGGCTGCTCGATTATGGCAAAAATCATAATCAGGATTATTTTGGTCAATAATTGATATCAGGATTATTAAATACGATTATTCATTGACTTTGAAAACATCCATTTATTGAACTTTAAAACAAATACAAATAATAATTTGAACAGTATCTTTTTAACTGTTGATTACCCTGAACGTATAATTCAACTGAAAAACCAATACAAAAATAATTTATATTTACATTTAAATAAATAATATCAAAAATAATAAATACCAATAAACAAGATCAACACATATTTTGGAGCGCACTTCCACAAGCTACTAAACATATATAAATATGATAAATAAAAATAAATTAGACTAAAATAAATGAGATCAAACATGTTGCACTGTCACAACCTGGCAAAGCAAAATAATCGTTTTTTCGATTATGTTGCTTTCGTAATTGTGGCCAAAATCCTAATTGCGATTGAAATACGATTAATTGCACAGCCCTAGCAGAAACTCACCATCAGTGACGATGAGCTTAAATCTCTGGTATGGATCATTAGAGTCAGTTCTGTTCAGACCACACCTGTACCATCCTGAGTCAGACTGGGTCAGCTGTTCAATGCTCACATACACAAATCCTTCTTTTGATCCTTCAAGATATCTGATGCTGTATCTGTCTTTTTTCAAAATATCGTAAGTCGTTCCAACAAGAATGTCTCTTTCACATCCCTTCTTGCAGAAGTACATCTCGGTCCCAGAGCGAGTAAAGGAGCATTGAACTACAATACTTCCTCCAGTTCTAGCATCGATTGTTTTTTCTGCAGAAGGACCACCAACAACTTTTGCTGTTGAAAAACAAAAACAATCAATAGTTACTATTTGTAGATTACAAATTGTAGTTTCAATATTTTAAACTTTGAATATTTTCAGACGTGATCCAGTCACTGAGGGATGAGGTGTGACGATTTAATTAAACAGCTTTTGTGAAATTCTTTATTATTTTATTTCAGTTTTCTTTTTTTGTATCATTATACTTTGGATTTATATTAGATTTGAATGCTTTAATAAAATCGCAGGCTTTGTATTTTTAATTACAAATAGTGCCTCGGATTTATTTACCCTTTGAACTGATCATTGTTATATTATGACTTACCCTGAGTTACCTTGAATTCATATGCTCATAACTTAGTAAAATATTACTTAACTAAACACTTCTGCATTAACTGTGCTTGAGAAAAGAAGAGCTTGTCTCTTTATGCAGAAGTGTTTTAAATGGTGAGGTTTAAGCAGAATGCATGTTTTAGGGAAGTAGTGCGCACACAATAAATGACATTTGGACTAAACAGCATTAGTTGTGTTAGAGTTAGTTAACGGATGTTTTAATTCACCAAGACTTTTCTCCATTTTGGGATTCTTTGTTCACCGTGGAGTCATGCTAGAAAAAGTTTTCTTCACAAATTCAAGTTAACACAGGATGAGTTATGAATTAATCTAAAAATTGTATATTTGGTGGGTAAAGTATTCATTTAATTCCTTCATTGTGTTACTTTTCAACAGAACAGAGGGCGGTCTCATAGACTCTACTTCATTCAGCAAATGGAAAACACACAACAGACCAATATGCTCGTGCCCCTGGTATACTTCATCACTAAAATATCCCTTGAAACAACACTAAGTGTGTGTTGCACAATAATATTCAAATACACTTGTGTAGTCGTGTCTATTTCAGTTTATCAGTTACTTTCAGAAGACATGTTGGATTTAAATGAAGTAAAGGTGAGAAGATAAAACAATTTCTGGACAAGAAAGAACATTCAGTTATTAGTAGAAACTCACCATCAACAACAATGATTTCAATATACTCGTATGAAGCCTGTGTCCAAGATGATCCCACACCACACCTGTAGCGTCCTGAGTCAGACTTGGTCAGCTGAGAGATGGTCACAAAATGACGTCTATCTTTATAATCAATGCTGTATCTGCCACTCTGAGCTGTGGCACCGGTTGTTTCAATGAGAATGTCTTCTTGTTCACATGGTTCCTTACAGAAGAACTCCCTGCCTCTATAAGAAGGAAAGGAGCATTTAACTCTGACATTTTCTCCTTCAATTCCTGAATAGACAGTGACTTGGGCACTGACGAGACCGGTGTTTCCATCCTGCAGAGCTGAACAAAAGATGAACAAAAGATGAACCATCATTAGTAGTGGTCAGTACTTCCTGTAAGATGCTGCAGTCTGATGACAACACCTCCTGTTTCACATGAACACAGATCCTCAGAGTTAAACCACAGCCTGTGACTGAAGGTCACCATCAGCACTGCAGGTTAATGTTACCGTTTGGTCTGAGATCTTTATCCTTCTTCAGACACAAAGACTACTTGAAGTCTCCATCTGCAACTTTAAGAGTTACATTAACGCAAATCCTTAAAGTACATAACCTAAAAAGTGTTTCATGTGAACACCACTTTTTTTTATTTATGACATTTCTCGACAAAACACTTCGATAGATAGATATAAACTTTATTTATCCCAGCAGTGTCAAGCCGTACGCGAGTTATAAATGTTTAAAAGATACAATAAGATACAAATATAATAAAAAGTTAAAATTAACATTAGCGGCATGTGTATATAGTCAGAATACAAATCAAAAGATTAATAAATGAATCAAGAAAATATTTTGCAGATTAAATGATTATGAAAACAATCATATTCATTATTTCACAGAAAAAACCTGTCGTAATGACTTCATTTTATTCATTCAGTGAGCAGATAATAACTGAGTTTAATGATGATGTACAGTTTGTTTGAGGAAGTGAACATTACATTTGAAGCTTAGGTCATTGGTTGCAAAGCTACTAAAAAGCCTAACTTTGAAATATTTGAATAACTCGTACTGCTGGAGCCTTGCATTAACTCAATAAATACTTTATAGGAAAATGATTCAATTACTAACATTATAATAAAGTGATGTACTCACAGAAGAGGAAGAAGAAGCAGCTCAAAGTGTGACAGACTTTCATGCTGAGACTCTGATGGTTTACCACTGACTGTCTTTCTTCACTGGCTAACCAGGAACTTGTAACTTCTTTAAATGATGAAGTCCCTCCTCCAAACACAACACAGCTCTACTCTCCTCCCCAACGCAGAAACACTATGGTTTAAAAATACTCCATTGAATGTTCTGAATTCAAAATGTTACTTGGGTAAAAGCACAAAAGTATCAAGTATAGAAAATGTATAAAAGAATCACTATGCATAAAAGCACATTTCAAAGTGTTGTCATAGAATATTTGGTTTATTGATCATTTAATATTATTGTTGTAGTTTATATAGAGCCAATTTGAGATACTTTGAATGCTATGGGCTCAGAACAGTCTCATAATACACACATGCACACAGAAGGATTCACTCTGTATTTCCGGTTCCACACTTGTGTTTTTCAATGCACACACAAATGTGTTCCGTTTCATATACATGTAAATAAAATCCAAATACAGAAAAATATTTTACATATATATTTTTGATCCTCACATATTTGTTTTCCGTTTAAAACCGCTGCACCTGCAAACACAACCCGCTTTCTCTGCATGGATCGCTGTGCATTCGTGTGTGGGTTTATTGAGACTCCCCTGACGGTCACCCGATTCGTAGGGGAGACCAGGGACAGTTGTAAGACTTTTTGGGTTTTCCCCAATAAGTAAAAAAACATTTACACTAGGATAGCTATTTTGCTATTTTATACATTCTCAATGTGTCAACTACTGAAACAATGTATTTAAGATGTTTCTATGAAATAAGTACAGGTTGGAAAATGTATTTTTTGTTTTTTAAACTCAACCGTTACAACCATCCCAGTGTACAGGGTTGTAACATGTTAATAATGGTTACCTTTTTTCACACTACATTACAAAAAAGAGGGAAAGCTGTCAAATTCTAAGGCAACAAGATTTGAATGGGGTTTCACACATCCTCCAACAAACAATGAACAATGAACAGAACTTAAAACAGAACACCAGATGGAATTAATCTGATTCACAGTTGTGGCAGGTGTAAAAGTCACTTCCATCTGTATAGATAGCCTATTCTACCTTAATTATGTAGACCTGCCTCCTTTGAGCTGAGACCATAGTATAAATTAGCTGCCTCCATCAGGTAGTCTCTCAAAAGCATCTCTTGCTCTGTTGAGAACACCTTCTTGGGCAGGGACATGCACAGATATTTGGAGTGGCTATTGCTCTAAACTGGAAAAAGGGCCTCCCCCCCCGAAAAAAAATATAAGACCAAAACGATTATTACATTAACTAATTTGAACAGTAATTCACATCATCATCTCATAACAAAATAAGCTAAGGCAACTACTTGCATTCGGTGACTTGATTTTTAAAATGAAAACCAGGGACATTTTTTGTTTTGCGGTCCATATCTCATTAAAATATCTAATGTTAGTAACTATTAAAAAAAAAATGGGAACAATTCAATGTAGTTTGACCATTGTAAAAAAAAATAGGGCTTCTATAATTACCTTAAATAAACTCACTAATTAATTAAACCAGTTCAATACGCATTATTCTTATTCTTATCATTCTTTATGATCGCAGTAACGTTAAGGTATCTAATTACTTATTTATTTAGTATTTCATAACTTAATAACAGAGATGGTCAAATTAAAGTAGAGACATGGCAGAAATCCTACAATGAAGCGGGACAGTGAAGTGTTCTCCGTGAGAGGGCGATCAAGAAAAGAGAGCGAGCGGCCCCATTGAGGGAGTTTACTGAGCAGATGAAAAGACACAGAAAGACAGAAGCACAATAACAAGTATATTTAGGTGTTTTTTTGTAAATAACCGACGGTGTCAAGAGGAAGTAAAGTCCCTGCCATGAGAAAACTCAAAATCCATTTTCCAAAATCCGACACTAGGGGTTGTCTTAACGCACCGGCACCAATACAGTAGCCTATAATAAATAGTATATATAATACGTAACATGTGTAATCACACACTTAGCGATAAAGAACATAAATAATAAAAACGTATGCCTACCTGGTTTAAAACACTTTTGTGGTCATACTGTGGAATGAGTTCACACTGAAACAAGTTCTTCATTCAACATTTCGTGGGCAATTACATGTAAGAAGAAGGAGAAGAAGAAGAAGAAGTAAAAGAAGTAGTAGAAGAAGAATGAAGCTGGTGTGTTTCCCGCAGCGAGACACTACAATACTAATTGTGGGCTTATCATGTTGATTCGACCACAACAGAAAGAACAAAAAAAACTTCTCGCTCTCTCCAGAGGGGCAGGTCATCCAAAAAGGGACATTAGCCCGTACCTGTGCACGTCCCTGTTCTTTGGTGTCAAGTAGCCTACTCTTTGGGGTGATTTTGATCCCTGACTCTCCAACCTCAGCCTCTTTTTATGGAACCGGTACAGGGTGACATGGCATATATCATGGGACTTTGCCACTGCCCTGACTGATTGGCCCTCCTGAACTTCATTTGAGGCCCTCTGCAGCAGAGAAAGTGGCACTCCCCTGTCTGTCTTCCTCTTTCTGATATTTGGCATACTGTAAACACACGCACACACTTTACGTACAGTATTTTTTTCTGTTTATTTTTACAGGGACAATGCACACCAATCAACAATATTGATCATTCGAGCAAATGAGCCATCATTGTAAATGTGCCATGTTACAACAGTCCCAGGTGGTCCGTGTTACAACCGTCCCAGGACTCATGTTTTCACCCCCTGTGAACCTGCATGATTGCTAGCTTGACCCATATTTAGCTAGTTATATGTTTAGCTTACAAAACAGTGATTCTAATAATACTAGTTTGGATTCCTAGACATTTTACCTCAAGACAGTATCCAAAAAATACATAGTATAATTTTTGTACATTTTTTACCTCAGAAACACACTTTTGCTGATATCTTTCACGAGAGATTTAAACGTGGCTCCTTTTTTTCACAGCGACCTTTCCATCTAACTGAACATGTGCAGAGTGAGTTTCATCACTCCATCTTGTTTGTGATTGGAGATATTGAAGGCGTTACAACTGTCCCGTGTTACAACTGTCCCTGGTCTCCCTACATTTACTAAAGCACATTCAAGCTTTATGTAACGTTATACCTCTACTACACTACATGTAGTGGAGACATATTGTACATAATACACTATTCTACCCTTCTCTCCAGAGAAAAACCTGTATTTTACAGATTTGGTCATTTGAAAAATTGAAGGACAAATGTTTCTTCGTGGGTTAAGTGAAACATCCTATTGTTTATTTATTTACATAAACTATAACAAATAATTTTAGGCTGGAAATAAATCACAAAGCTGACAACAGGGCTGATTTTCTATATGATGACCTTTTTTAAGATTATAATCCATTACTGCCAGAATGCTCCTTTCATTATCTTCGTCAAAGAAAGCTGGATGGTTTGATTCTTTATCCACATTTGATAAATAAAAAAGCCACCACATTATTAAATAAAACAAATAAATACACCATGGTAAAAAAATATAGTGCAGTTCTTTTTGTTATGAATGAGTGAACATAATCAACTATTCAAAGAGCCGGAAACATTATCAAATTGTAAGAACTGAAGTGTATATTGCAGGTAAGCAGTGGCATTACAGCAGAAAGTTATTATGGTCTGTATTGCGTGTGTTGGTCTTGTGGTTTTGAATGCAGGAATTGACTAGTAGTGGGGACATCTCAAAGTGTTATAAAAACTATCTCTTGACTAAATATCTGAATACTTCCTCCTTCACTAGACTTTTCTTTGTGTTCCCTGCAGGTGAACATTGGAGGAACCTTTAATGTGATCCGTCTGGCGGTGGGGGAGATGGGGAAGAACGAGCCTGATGCCGATGGACACTGAGGCTGCATCATCAACACAGCCAGCGTGGCAGCCTTTGACAGGTACTATTAAACACACACATAAGATAAATGACTTGGTGTTTGCTCAGATTCTCCTCTTTATTTTGCTCTCCCTCTTCTCTCCAGGTCGGCCAAGCAGCATATTCAGCTTCTAAAGGCGGCATCGTCGGAATGACCCTCCCCATCGCACGAGATCTGGCACCCATGGGCATCAGAGTCATCATAGCACCCAGTTAGTGAAAAATGAAGGATCATCACACCTTTAAAATAATTCAGGGTCTTAAATTGGCATTTTACCTTTTAGATAGATGACTACTATATGATAAGTAAAAATATATAACATTATTAAAGTAAATGCTTACATTAACACAAAGCTGTGTATTGATTTATTTAACAGCTAGCATAACAGTTTGTGAACAAAGTCTGCTTCTTATATTATTCTGACATCCTCCTGCTAATTATCCATACTAGTTGAAGATGATTACATATTACATTTACAATATCTTTTTAATAAAGAGTCATATACTGCAACACAGATAAGTGAAAAAAGGATGTCACTGATTTCCTTAATAAACATATTATTTTAAAATATGTATTGTTTAACAATGCCATTATAGCTTTATTGTTTATACAACAGTATAGTATTTATAAGGAGTAAAAAAACATTGCTTGAGTGTCAGAGAAGTTTATTGTCAACAAGCCAAGATGAAGTTGATTGGAAGGCAGTGACATGATGTTGTTGTTGGCAGGAAAAGGAACAATCATATTGCACTGTAGTTTCATAAAGGTTCCTAATGTCATTATTTTTCCTTACATTTATCTTATGTTATATTAAAGCAGTACACATCTATTATTAAACAATGCTCCATCTGCAGTGAAGTCATACATGTCCACTCTTTGTTATATTAAAGCAATAGACATATTTTATTTAACAATGTTCCTTCTGCAGTGAAGACATACAAGCAAGTCTTAATTATAATTGCGTCAAATAATTGGAACAGAGAGCACAATCACAAAGAGATGCATTTGTCATAAACTTGTCAACGCATTCTACCATAAATTCAATTCAATCCCAGTGCCGAACAGAGAAACGCCCATTTTACGGCCAACAGAGAAGCCACAGCCCAGCACCTTTGCCTCTACATGTGTAGCACCAACAGTGACACCGATGTCTGCTGACAGACCGACTG